ATTTTCAGGGATTTTGAAGCCATGAAACAAAATAGATTTTTTCAAAAGGAAGAGAACAAAGAATATAAGGGAAATATAAAATGTACACATATTAACACACACACACTTATTTTGGAGGTGCTCTTACAGAAACAAAACCCCATTCGTAAAGATATATGTATTATTTTTAGTGTTGTATGACCATAAAATTCTTAATTGCTATGCTTTAACAACTGAAGGGGCTCTGAAAACTGTCTGAGTCCAAATCCTTCCTTTCACAGATGAGGACTTTCTGCGAAGTAACAGAGGTTAAACAGCCAGAAGAATATAGTCACACAAACCAGTTAGTGGTGGCCCTGTTGCCTTATATAGAGGTAGAAAGAGAAGGCACATAACAGCCTTTTTCCTTTGATAGAAGTAGGAGGAAATGGAACTCTCTTTTCTGCATTTCTTCTCATTTCCTATTAGTCTTCTGCCCCTTCCCTCCACTGCTTTTCTCCGAGCCTTTAATAGATGTAAAATAAGCTAGTTACTGGAATTCCAAACCCAAGGACTGTAACATTTCTTTATTCATTTCATTAGCCGGAACATTGGGCCTCTGTTAGGGATACCTTAAGATTGGTAAAGAGACTGTGGACAATACTTAGGGTTTAGAAGTCTGAGTGGTCCCTCTCACCCTAAGCACTAGCTAAAACAGCTCCTCCAGACAGCTGAGGGTCTGGTGTGTGCCACTCTAACCTGCGTATTTTACAACAGTGATATGCAGAGTTGAAGTTCCCTGAAACACACACTTCCTGACAACCTGCTACTCAAGTTGTGCCCTGTGGTCCAGCACCACCAGCGCTCTGTAGCTAATTAGAAATGCAGAATCTTAGGCCTCCATCCCAGACCCAGGAGTCAGGATCTACATAACAAGAGTCCCACATTAAGGTGTGAAAAGCACTGTTTTAACAGAGAAATTTAAGCCATGTTTCCCTTGCTGGAAAGTAAAACAGGGATCACACTAAAAATGTTCCATTCCACAGATTTTTATTTTTTGATCTTTTACTTTCACTTTGCAAGAATAAAATCATATACATTTATTTGGCTCTAATAAGCAACGAGGCCAATCCCAAACTCCAATGCAGCTGTCAACAGAGAAAGGTAGATTTATGTATTTGATTTTAACTCAGTTTAATTTGCACTGAACTTTTTGCAAGTCACTCTGCAATGAAAATACTGGGGTTACATATTAATAAAACAGTAAAGTATTCCCTCCACCTTTATACAAATTTCATATTAACACTGGCAGTAAGGATAGTTTTATTCTATTATATTTGGGATTGCAAGGAGTCACACAGAGTGGCACCTTCCCCCTCTGCTCGGAAAAACACAGGACTGCAGAATTTTCTCTCTTTAGGCTTTTAGACCTTTCAATCCTGTTTTCTCATTCTAAAAGGGTAGTGGGGGTGAGGCAGAGATGCTGCAATATAGAGCCATCCCTCCAAGCTGCATCCTAACCGTCACCCCCTGGGTCACACCAAAGGAGGTGCACAGGTGGCGGGGGGGGGGGGGGGGACGGAAGCATTTTACACCTCCCTGGTTGGCTGCTGTGGTGAATGATGGTCAAAAACAAGATCGATACCAGCTTAACACATAGCTCACAGTGAATGAAAACCTTGATGGGCCTTTAAGAAGGAATGTCAGTCTTCAAGCTCCAACAAGCCATGCTATGGTGAAAACTACTGAAGTGTCAAAACTACTGTTCTGTGCCAGAGTGAACAAACACATGCTTCCGTTTTAACAGCTCATTAGGAAACCTGCTGTAGTGTGTAGCTATAATCGGGCACCACTTAACTTAAATCTGTAAGTTGCATTCCAGGATATTACTGGACCAAATCCACACTCTGTAAATCAGCTCACCTCAGTGACTGAAGTCAGCTGTCACAGATCTTTACAATTTCACCAATTTGCTGGCTCCTCATTTAATTTTCTTCTATGCTTTGAGCCAGGGTGACCACATAAGGTGAGGTCCAAAATGAGATGCTTTTACTGGTGTTAAAATGTTAAGTAAATGGGACATAGGGACAAGAGACATAAACCAGGGCAGGCAAACTGGGATATATAATCTCCCTATCTGTAAAGAACTAAGGGGAAAAAAAACGGAGCAGAAAGGGAATAGCAATAAATAGAACTACTGGGAGACTGCTATGAAGACACTCTAGAAACCAACTATACAATACGGATCATATATATATCCCTATATGCCAGGACACTCAACATATTACCTTATTTACGAGATACAATAAAAACATATACCATGGGTGCTAAGAAAGGCTGACAGTAATGTGAGATGTCAGATGAAGCTGTTCTCAGTATCACCACCACTTAGTATAAATGCCAACAAAATGATTTCTGGAAAGAGTCTCCTAATAATACAATCTCAAACATTCTCCCTAGAACTGCATTTGACATGCAGGTACACTGTTTTCCTCAGTTTAACTAGAGCCTCATCCCTGGATTATCTACATGGTTTCAGAACAAAGAGTTTCCCAGCTTCTATTTTAAACCAAACAAGACAACTGACATGTCCACGGTTTTATAATTTTACAGTGTTTTCACATGCATTATCTTCGATAAGCTTCAAAACAGCTTCATGAGATACACTCCTCCGCAACAGATAAAGAAATTGAAGCTCAAAGACGTGAGCTCCCCTTGGCCTGTGACTCTGTAACAGTACTTCTTATACTCTGCCTTTGTTCCTATTATGTTGCTCTTCCCCACTGGGCTTTAAGCTTTACAAGTGCAATGATTATGTCATTTTAGTTCTCTGAGAGCCTAGGATATCCAATGTCCAAAATTATTTTAAATTAATTATAATACTTATTTTGAATGAATGGATAAATTTCATAAAAAAGGATTTGGTATATTTCTATTTCTGTGTCTGTGTTGCCATTTAATGACCCAGAGAAGGCAAATCTTATACATACACAACACATTTTTAAAATATGTTGAGGTGATCCTATTAAAGAAGAAATGAGAAACTAACTACTATGCAGTTAAAACAATTTAAAGGAAAAGAACCGGCCACGCATGGTGGTTCACGCCTGTAATCCCAGGACTTTGGGAGGCCGAGGTGGGTAGATCACGAGGTCAAGAGATCAAGACCATCCTGGCCAACATGGTGAAACCCTGTCTCTACTGAAAATACAAAAAATAGCTGGGTGTGGTGGTGCATGCCTGCGGTCCCAGCTACTAGGGAGGCTGAAGCAGGGGAATTCCTTGAACCCAGGAGACGGATGTTGCAGTGAGCTGAGACTGCACCACTGCACTCCAGCCTGGCGACAGGGCAAGACACAGTCTCAAAAAAAAAAAAAAAAAAAAAAAAAAAAGAAAAAGAATCCCCAGAAATGGTAGTCCCTCATCTGTAGACTGGCTGTGTGTGAGGTGCACTTGAGAGCAGAGGGTTGCAATGTACTGGGTCAACCGGGTCCTTCAGTATTCTACCTGATTGCCATGGACTTCAACAATATCTCTATAAAAAACACTTTCTCAAATCTACCCACTGAAGATCTGGGATTGGGGCTATTTCATATCTCTGCTATATATAAGTATGAGCCAGAAGAACTGAGGTTATTTGGCACTTTCTTTAGTATTTATTGTTTTGAGTCAACAAGAAAAATACAGCTCAGGACATCTAATGAGACTGTGGTGAGAACTTTGGCTTCTAACGTTCTTACAATGCTTCTCCTCATTTGACACTATGGATACTCACAACTATACTGTTTTCTCAAGACCACTCCCCTTAAGGCAAAGTGAAACTTTAAAAAGACTGGGGATTAAATATATTTTTGAAAAATGAAACTGTCTATAAAAACTAGTTTGAAACCTGATCAATGATAAAGGCAGAGAAAGAGACCAAAGAAGTATGAAGTGAGACTTCTTAACGTTTCTGCTTATTATTTCTCATATTTTATAAATACAACACAGTACAGTTATTTATAATGCCAAGAATTGTAAGACATCTTTATGTAATAATGACATATCTTACCCAGAACTTAGTTGTCTAGTCACAATAATTACAAAATTAATGAAGACAGAAATAATCGAATAAGTAAATAAACTACCAAAAATACTATGGATGAATTTATCTTATACAGAAAGCTTAAGTCCATACTCAGTTCTAATTAACTTTGGATGTCTCCCTGCCCCTTCCCCACACTATAGCTTAGGCCAGATGACAAAGCCATGGGGAGTGCTTCTGAAAGGCCTAGTAACTCAAAGCCAAATTCCTATATCAAGGGAAGTGATCTTTTAAATGATGTTTAAGGGGTGGGCATGGTGGCTCATGCCTGTAATCCCAATACTTTGGGAGGCTGAGGTAGGCGGATCACTTGAAGTCAGGAGTTTGAGACCAGCCTTGCCAACATGGTGAAACCCTGTCTCCACTTAAAAAGAATTAGCTGAGCATGGTGGTGCCCACCTATAGTCCCATCCCAGCTGCTTGGGAAGCTGAGGCACAAGAATTGCCTGAATCCAGGAGGCAGAGGCTGCAGTGAGCTGAGATCATGCCACCACACTTCAGCCTGTGTGACAGAGAGACACTCTGTCTTTAAAAAAAAAAAAAAGATGTTTAAAAAACAAAAATGATCAGGCAAACTGCTCTGTAAACTGCAGAGTTGCTAAGAACATTGTTATTATAGCACAATACAATAATATTATTGAAAATAATGGACCCAACTTACTAAGAGAAGATTAAATCATGTTCAATATATTTTAAAAAGTCTGAAAGCATATAACTTTGGAAACTTTTCAAAAGGAAATTATCCAAGTGAGAGAGGCATACAGAAGATATAATTAGAGAGAGAAATCATGTACCACTGGGAAAGCTTAGCTTTCTAGAATAGCTTATTTTCTGCCAGAAACATAACCTACTGTAATTCTTTTAATAATAAAATTTGAAACAATTTATTTGTGAAACAATTTATTTAGTTATTTTAAATTTTATTTTATTAAAAGAATTTTTTTTTTTTTTTTTTTGCATGTAGCTGACCAGCCTACCAGGTCTTTTATGCAGTTCAACATACACAGTGACACCAAGGTAAGACAAATGAAGTTCCAGTTTGGGTGCCTCCATCTCCCTCCCCTGGATCCTGATCCAGTGACTGTCAAAGCCAGAAAGAACTGGTGTAGGGTGCTTGATCATGGGGAAGGCTGTTGTGGTTCGCCCGGCAGATGGGAAAGGGGGAAAGTTTCACTTCTTCACAATTTGAATGACATCCTCATCCTCCAACATATAGTCTTTACCCACTTTCTGAGGATTTGTGTTTCACAGAGAGACCCCAGGCCAGAGCATATTTAAATTATTTGATGAGATTGTTGTGAATCTTCATGCAGAAATCCTCCACTGTGGTCCTGGGGTAAGGAAGCAGCACTGGGGATGTATAATCTGGTAACTGGCCTTTGGGTTTGGTATAAATTCTCACTAGTTTCAGATAATCCCACATCTTTTCTAGTAGGTCATCAAAATTCCAACGGTGATGGACAGAGATGGGTACACAGTGAGGCACCTTATAGATGATATCCAATTCCTCAATGGAGATTTGGTCAATCTTATTTAACAGATAGATACAGGGGATATAAACTCTGTTTCCTTCCACCACATCAATGAGGTCATCAGCTGTAGCATTATTACGTAGAGTCACATCGGCATTATGAATCTTGTATTCGGCCAGAATGCTTTTCACAGTTTCAGCATCCAGCTCACTCTGGGGGCAAGTGGCTGTGAGATTAATGCCTCCCTTGTCCTTCTTCTTAAAGCCAATGTTGGGGGGTTTGCTGTTCAAGCGAATGCCAAAGACTTCCAGTTCATTTTCAATTATCCTCTTATGTCCCAAGGGTTTCAGGACACCCAAAACAATCAGGATCAAGTTACAGGTTCAGACCACTGCAATGACTTGACGACCTCTACCTTTCCCATCCTTGGCACCTTCAATGATACCTGGGAGATCCAGGAGCTGGATCTTGGCACTTTTGTATCTAATGACACCAGGCATGGTGGTCAGAGGAGTGAATTCATAGGCTGCTACCTCAGAATACACCCCTGCCAGGTTACTAAGCAGTGTTGACTTCCCCACAGATGGAAAACTAACAAATCCAATTCGAGCATCACCTGTCTTGGCCACATCAAAACCTTCTCCTGGACCTCCACCACCACCACCACCCTTTGGAGTAATGAGTTCTCGACAAAGCTTAGCAAGATGAGCCTTAAGCAGCCCTAGGTGGTGTGCTGTGGCCTTGTTCTTTTGAGTCCGAGCCATCTCAGCTTCTCTCTCCCCGATCTTAGCTAAGGTGCTGCTCATCCTGGTGAGTCCCCTGTGGCCTCTACACTGATTGCTTCTCTTCACACACCCGTGGGCAAACTCTAAAAGAATTTTTAAAATTCTTTTAATTTAACAGGATCTTGCTATGTTGTCCAGCTTGGTTTTGAACTCCCGGCCTCAAGTGATCCTCCTGCCTTGGCCTCCCAAGCCACATGCTGAGATAACAGGCATGATGAGCCACCAATTTATTTTTAAATATTTTTCCGTCTATTTCCTTGTGGTGCCTGGTGATGTCCTATTTTCTAAAGGTCTGTATGGCTGTGAAAACAGGTATCCTAAATAAACTTAGAGAGACTTACAAAAGGAAACAAAGTCTTTATTGGGTATCTTCTCGACCCTGAAACTATTAGCTCCATGGGTTTACTACTATGCCTCAGACCTCTTGTCATTCCTACATATCATCCAGTCGAATGGGTAAGCATTCAATAAATATTTGTGAAATCTTTTAATTTTGTAGCTAAATCATGAGATAATTTCTTAATGCTTTTTGTTGTATACACCAATGTGTGTCTATGAAGTCTCACATGTATATATATATATTTTTTTCTTTTTTTTTTTTTTGAGATGGTGTCTCACTCTGTTGCCCAGGCTGGAATGCAGTGGTACAATCTCAGCTCACCGCATCCTCCACCTACAGGGTTCAAACTATTCTCCTGCCTCTGCCTCCCGAGGAGCTGGGATTACAGGTGCACACCACCATACCCAGCTAATTATTGTATTTTTAGTAGAGACAGGATTTTACCATGTTGGCCAGGCTGGTCTTGAACTCCTGCCTTGGCCTCCCAAAGTGCTGGGATTGTAAGCCACCACCATGCCCAGCCCCAAGTCATATTTTAAAAAATGAAATCCTTAATGTATAAAAATTGGTAATTTTATACATTAGTTTTTAAGCTTTAGGGATTTCATTTCTTAAAAATATTACTTCTATTTCACTGATTATTATCTTAAGACTTTTTTTTTTTTTTTTTTTTTTTTTTTGAGATGGAGTCTCTGTCACCCAGGCTGGAGGGCAGTATATGATCTTGGCTCATTGCAACCTCCACCTCCCAGGTTCAAGGGATTCTCCTGCCTCAGCCTCCTCAGAAGCTGGGATTTCAGGTGCTCACCACCATGACTGGCTAATTTTTGTATTTTTTGTAGAGACAGGTTTTGCCATGTTGGCTAGGCTGGTCTCAAACACCCGACCTTAAGTGATCTGCCCACCTCAGCCCCTCAAAGTGCTGGGATTACAGGTGTGAGCCACCAGGCATTTCCTAGGCCTAATTCTTAAAAAATTTCACAGCAGAATTCAGTTCCTTTTCACACAGGTTAATTGGAATATTAATGCTTGATATGGTTTAGATCAGTGTCCCCACCAAATCTCATGTTGAACTGTAATCCCCAGTGTGAGAGGTAGGGCCTAGTGGGAGGTAACTGGATCACAGGGGCAGAATTCTCATGACTGGGCCAGCACCATCCCCTGGGTGCTGTTCTAGTGATAGTGAGTGAGTTACCGCGAGATCTGGTTGTTTAAAAGTGTGTAGCACGTCACTCCTCTCACTATTCCTCCTGCTCTGGCCACATAAGATGTGCCTGCTTCCCCTTTGCCTTCTGACATGATTCTAAGTTTCCTAAGGCCTCCCAGAAGCAGAAGCCACCATGCTTCCCACATGGCATGTGGAACTGTGAGCCTATTAAACCCCCTTTCTTTATAAATTGCCCAGTCTCTGGTATTTCTTGATAGCAGAGAGGGAATGAACTCATCAATGCTTCTCAAAAGGGTAGCACATACACCCAAATCATAGGTACTTAACATCTTGATTGAAACCTTAGTAACCATAGCAATTTATAAACCTGTGTTCTGGTTAAGTGCTTTCCTGGAAGACATTATAGCTCGGTCTCTAGACCTACAAGGCCAGGATCTGCTCTACTTCTGCTTCTTCTGTTATAGAGATTAAAAAGACTGGCGACTAAAATTACCACATCACCAGCATTCTACTGCATGTAGAAGAACCAATGTATTCATTGCATCAGTAAGAACAAATCATGCTCTTTATGACACACCATACTGCACTAGAACACACATTATCTCACATGCAAAAACAAATCAAGGCTAGGTGCTCACGCCTGTAATCCCAGCACTTTGGGAGGCCAAGGCGGGTGGATTACCTGAAATCAGGAGTTTGAGACCCGCCTGGGCGACATGGTGAAACCCCATCACTATCAAAAATATAAAAATTAGCCAGGTGCAAAAGCAGGCACCTGTAATCCCAGCTACCTGGGAGGCTGACACAGGAGAATTGCCTGAATTCAGGTGGCACAGGTTGCAGTGAGCCGAGATCATGCCACTGCACTCCAGTCTGGGCAACAGAGTGAGACTCTGTCTCCAGAACAAAACAAAACAAAAACCCCACAAATCAGTACTGAGCACATTGACACACACCTGCGATCCCTACACTTTTGGAAGACCTATGCAGAAGGATCAGCCCAGGAGTTCGAGACCAGCTTGGGCAACACAGTGAGACCCTATCGCTACAAACAAACAAACAAAATTTGTTTACATCAAAAATCTTTCGCTTTTAAACCAAATTCTTACGGAATAAGGCCCCTAGAGCTTGGACCAAAATTTCAGGTAGGTATTAAAAAAACAAAAAAATGTACTGCAAAAGGATCTTATTCTGCAAAGAAACATTCAAGAGTTAACTAATATTTGAAAGATGTCTTTAAATGGCAAAAAGCAGATTTTAAAACAACAACTACAATAAAAGCAATCAAAAAGATATTTAAAGGTAGTGGCTTTGATGCTTATGAAAGTTATGGATCTTCTCACCAGAAAATACAGACGGACACCACCCCCCCACCGCCACCAAAAATCTGTATAAAATTTCAAAGGAAGATGGAGATGAATGAGGGTCACTTCCCACCTTCACAGATCCTCAGTTCAAAACTTTCTTTTTTTAAAGGAATAAGATCTTTCCAAACTGTGATCTAACTAGAACCTTAAAAATGAACTATCCTGTGCTATTTTTATATGTTTCCAAATAGGCTTTTCTCTTTTTTGTTTTGTTTATTAAAAGGTCCCACCCTATTTAATAAGGAGCCACAAAGTGGAAGAAAAGAAGATAAATTACTTAGTAATAAACATGCATTAAAAAAAATTTAGAACGCTAAGCATACTTAACATCGCCATTACTTCGACACCGGCTTTACAAGGAGGAAAGACAGCCAAGGAGAGGCCCAAAAATAAAACTCTCAAAATATCAAAAGGAAGCACTAACTTTCTTGCTTCTATAGTAGAAGCTCACTAGAGAAAAAAAAAAAAGGTGACAGCCACCTATTTATTGTGAAAGACCGAGAAATAAATTAATTCGCCTCTAGAAATTCAAATAAATTTTAAATAAGGGTTACCTGCCACAAAAATTCTTGTCTGCCTTGAATTTTTCTTCCATTCAAAGGAGGAAAATTTTATCAGCTGGTAATTCATAGAAATGTAAACCATCTCTCTGTTCTGGTAGCTGAGTGTGTCCAAGAACCAAGAATTTTTCTACAGGAAATTTACAAAAGTAACCTTATGCACTACCAAGATTAGCAAAATCAAATACTTGTTCAAAACCAGGCCTGCCAGCTAAGCTCTACTCTTCTTAGAGTTTTCAGTTTGTTCAAGTGTAAGTCAATTTAGAGAAGCTGATGTAAAAATGTCTATTTTTTGGGGTTAGGGAGGATGAGGAAACGGCTTTTTGTATGTGTCCCTCAAAGATAAAGGTTATTCCCTTCCATTACCTTTGTAAAACACAAATGGGGTAACTTAACCATGCAGTTTTCTGCAGGCTCATTTATTCTAGGGCCTCTCATGCTTTTATGATACAGAGGTAACAAGTCAGGAAGCACAATGAGGAAAGATGTTAAAAAGTCCAGCATCTGCTGCGTCAGAAGTAAGCTAGCTTAATTCGCACAGAAATCCAAGCCAACAGTTCACATAAGCTCAGCCTTTCTGACTATGGGCATCCTATCCCCAACTAAAACACAGTATTTAACATATCCATGGACACAGAAAGCAGAATAATGACTGTCTAGTGCTGGCGGGTATGTGGGGGTTGTCAGGGAAATGGGCTTTTGAAAATGTACGATTATGTGACGTTACTAAAAACCACTGCATCATAGGGGGGACTGTATAGTTTGTGAATTATACCTCAATAAAGTAGTTCCTAAAAACCCAGAATGTATGAATTTCCTTGATCATTAATATCAGGGTAAGTTGGTCAGTGAAGATTAAGATAGGATGAAAAGGTTTAGAAGAAATGGCAAGAGAGTAAGATATAAGATAGGTAGAGAAAAAAATCACTGGGTTCTTTCTTACTGAATCATACCCTCATCAGCCAAGGACATAGGCTAAGCTTCCCTGCAGTTAGGATTTGAGGATGCCTCTGTTCCAAGTTTCTCCAGTACAGGGTAATATGCCATAAAATTTTCTGGAATCCCATTGTTTAGTAGAAAACCCTGAACTTGGTGCAGCAGCTCCATTTGCATGCTGTTGATGGTGGTAGAGATAATCTTACTCATTTCATAAAACAAACCCATCTCAGAGTACTCAGAAACAAGGAGGATCAACAAGACGTTCCGTCCAGTGATCTACCTTCCCTCCAGTGACCAAAGCAGATATCCGATAAGGAGGATTCTTTTAACTCAGGAAACAACCACTAGGTAAAAAGACTTTGTTTATCTGATAAAGACAGAGTATACACATTCATGTCCAGACTACCCTTAAACATACTGTTCACATCTGATTGCATTAATTATCAGTTCTTACTGCATCTCTCACCATCACAGGCCTTTTTCCCACACTAGACTACATTTTTCAGACTTGAAGTATGTAACTAGTGTAAATGGAAAATTGGTTTGGGCTATCAAATCAACATGGCTCTTGGCAACATCTATTTATAAGCTTACATCAAAATTTAGCTATACCTTTTAAAATTTCATTGCAATATAGACATTTAAAAATGGTAGCCAGGTGCAG